CAGGTAAGATTCACCTTCTGTTGTGTGGGCAGGGTGGTCCCTTCCCTTACCTGGCTGATCCCCTGGCAACGCCTTCCCAGGCGGGATTGGGCGATTGGCTCAGGTAGGTGGAGACCTCCAGGTATCCAGCCTGGGGAGGATGAAGCCACCCCAAACTACCAGGAGCCACACTGGGATCCGGGGGGGGGGGGGCTGTGTGCAACCACGCAAAAGGCACCCCCCATTTGATGTGGGGAGTGGTCATTGTGTAAACAGAATGACTGTGAGAGGCTGTGGAGTCCAGGTCTGCGGAGTGTCAGGCACTTGTCCAACTTCCTGTTTTTCCAGTCTTAGGCAGCTGGCACATGTGGAGATGGAGTCAGTCCCCGGGTTCAGTGCTTGGTGTCAGAAGTTGTACTGGCCCGCATATACAGGGATATGTATGGGAGAGGCATCCCAAGCTGAAAGCATCACCATCTGTTGTTGATGATGGTGGGTCCTAAAAATAACTAGACATTGTGTGGTGATGGCAGTCTTAAACTCTTCCATCGCCTTCTCATAGGGTACTAGGTCCATGTTTTTTTTTAAAAAAAAAACTCATATTGTGCCTTTCATAAGAAGCTCAACATAGGGTACATGCTTTCCCTCCTTCACAACAGCTTTGAGAAGTAGATGAGCATGGGAGACAGTGACTGGCCCAACATCATCCAGTGAGCTTTATGGCTGAGTTAGGATTTGAACCTGGAGCTCCTCAGTTCCAGCCCCATAGTTTGATCACTACTCCACACTTGGTTGGATGCACAACCAGGTACATTAGGGTGCTAAAGTATGAAAGACATTGGGATCTTATATGTTCATAGGGAATTAAGTGCTTGGTGTTTTTAAAAAGTATTTATTTATTTAAAGCAATTGTGTTTATTTGGTACCATTCCATGCATAATTTTATAAACTCTATCGTGTCACCTCTTACTTGCTTTTCCTAAAAAATCCTGAACACTGCAAACTTTTCTCAAGCCCCTTGGTCATTTTAGTTGCCCTTTTCTGAACCTTTTCCAACTTGGAAATATGCCAAGTGAGTGTAATATCAACGTCCAAGTAGTAGTTAATTTACGACCTTTGTTGCCACCAGTTAACCAACTGATTCATTCCAGAAATATAATGGACAATAACCTTTTTTTCACAGTCCGGTTTAATTGAAGTGCTTGGATTCCAAACGATTTGCTCCCTTCAGCTTAAAAATCGCCTCACTTCAGTTTCACTGGGTTATGGATTGAGCTGGCAGTGATTCTTACCCTTTAACACACCAAATTGCAAGTCACGACAAAGCAGCATTGGCAACAGAGAACAGGATGACATGATGTTAGGCCCAGGTGGAGGTCAGGCAGAAGAGATGAGATTTTTCTTTCTTCCTTTCAAAAATCGATGCATATGTGTTTGAGAGCATGCCTACACTATTGAGGGAAATGTTAACAAATTTAGTTGAGGCGTTCAAGGCCTGGTCATAAAGGGCAGAAAAGAGCAAACTGGTCAAATGAATTTTACAGGAACCCCCCCCCCCCCCAAAAATGGGGTGGGAGGGTTCTAATGATGCGCAGGCTGCATAATAATATCTCTGTGAACCGTAAAAATAATAAAAGCTGAGGCCATTTCCAACATAATCTCTATCAGCAAGATGCCAGTGCTTTTCCAGATTTCCTAACAGGTCCCTGCTAATTCCATGCCAAAACTAGCAGTGGATTTCTTCCTTTTAATCTCCCCTAATGCCTTATTCGATTATTGTCACTGCTCTCCGACCGGGCACCGTCCCTTCATACTGTAATTCCACAACTGAAGCACTCAGATGAGCCTGAACGACGGTGGGGGAATATCAGGGACCGACCACACACACTCACACACACACACACAGGGCGAAGAGGAGCCCCTGGAAGGCGGGGCTGGCAGGGAGAGGGGGGGGGGAACCAGCCCAAGTCCATCTGCCCATCCACACTCCTCTAGAGCATTAGGTCTACGGGTATACTACTGGTAGTAAGGAAAACGCCGAGTGGGAGGACAAAACTGAAGAAGGAAGATGGGTCCTACTCAGATTTGCTACAGTTGACCAGGTTGGCATCCAGGTCCTGGGCAGAACGCAGGCATGGCTTGGTGGCTTCCTTGGATTTGCTTCACTGCGTGGTAAGTAAAGCAAACTTGGGCGCAGAAGAAGTTGGGGCCAGCCTTGCTCTTCTACACCTTGGGACAGCAAATGGCCGGGAGGGCTGCTTTGCTGTTGATCCAAAGTGAAGCAACTTTTTTGGGGGAGCGTAGGGGTGGTGGTGGGAGTTGGTTTGGGGCAAGAAGGGAGCCTGTGGGTGACGGCGGGGCTCTGTGCTTGCCCCTGCAGCCTCCACAAGGTGCTGGCGGACGACCCCGCCGCCGACGAGGGCGACCTCTACTCGGAGAACATCTCCCGAATCCTGGACAAGCTCCTGGACGGCTACGACAACCGGCTGCGACCCGGGTTCGGCGGCAGGGGCAGCCCAGGTCCTTACTTGTTTTGTGCACCTTACTTCTTTCCCCACGGCGTTTGACCTCTCCCGTTGAGCCGCAGCCTGCGAGCCACAGTTGCCTGCAAGGCGGTCTACGACCCTACACGTCCCTTCAAGGGAGCCCCATCGGACACCGCGGCGTTTGGGTTGTGGGACTTGGATTTCCGAGTATGCGCCGCTGGGGTCGCGCTACAAGCGGGGAAAAAACCCGGCTTGCTCCTTACCTTAGGGCCGTTGTGGGGTGGGGGCGTCTTGGGGGGAGATTTCACTGAGGCAAGACCAACCCCGTCCACCTCCCTCCCAGGATCGCATCGCCAAGACACCCCTTCTAAGAAAGTCCTGTTTGGGCACCTGGGGAAGCCAAACAAACCCTATTTTTTGCTAACTACGTGCAAACAAGTTGTTTCCTCCCTTGGTGGAGGGGGAGGGGGAAGCACCCTAAGAATAAATGCCACCCATCTCACTGAACTCTCTCCTTCCTCCCCTCGACGGTGCGCACGCAAACTTTCGCCCCCTGGAACCGCTTCCCAGGAGCCGTGACGGAAGTCAAGACAGACATCTACGTGACCAGCTTTGGTCCTGTGTCAGATGTGGAAATGGTAAGACACCCCCCACCAGCAACTCACCCCCCACAGCTGTGAGAGGAGCCTTAGTGTCAAAGGAGATCGCCCCCCCCCTTCTCCCTCTCTGCCTCTCAAGCCCTTCGGCTGCAAGGGAGCTTGCTCTGCCCCTGTTTTCTAGGATTCATTACGGTGGCATCTGAGTGGACTGTCATTAGAGCAGATTACTCGCTTTAATCTTCTTGACAATCTCTGCCTTGCAGGGACCCGGCCGTGCATTTCCCGTTGGGGCTGCACAGAGGTTTTGCACGACTGCGATGGGCCAGGCGGGGCAGTTTTAGCATGCATCTTTTTTTTTTCGAGGGGAGGAGAGCTGTGTGTGCGTGTGTTCAAGCACACTTGCAAATCAAATATTTAGATAATGCAAATGTCTGGGTTCACTCCCCCCACTGCTCTCTGGCCTTCCTGGGTGGAAAGCAGGGTTTGTTGGTTAAGAGGGCATCAGAGCTATAAGAAGATTGTGGCCGCTTGCACCACAATGCGGAGAATTATACACAGCAGAGCTCGGAGCAGGGGAAGTAAACTTCGCCAAATGCACGTCAGGCAGGGAGTGCTCCTTTTGCTCGGTGAAAGAGCAGATGGCAACAGGCACTCATTTATGGAACCTGGGGTGGGCTCATCAGTATGTTGTGTGCTTGCCCTTGATAGATGCTGTAAACTTCCTCCTAGTATTATTAGGATCCCTGACATTCTGGAGTCTGGCTATGCACACATGACATTTTATTCTAGAATCAATGGAGACCTTGTGCTTGCTTTTTGCATGTACAGTGGTACCTCAGTTTAAGAACAGCCCTGTTAATGAACGATTCGGATTATGAACTCCACAAAACCGAAAGTAGTGTCCCCGTTTGTGAACTTTACCTCGGTCTAAGAACGGAATCTGAATGGTGGAAGGGCACCGGTGGCAGGAGGCCTCATTAGGGAAAGCGCGCCTCGGTTTAAGAATGGTGTCGGTTTAAAAACAGACTTCCGGAACGGATTAAGTTCGTAAACCGAGATACCACTGTAGTCCACACACAGTCTAGATCTGCTGCATATTTTTTTTGCCCCTGAGAAGCATTATTTGTTCCAAAAATGGAAGCTCGTTGCAGAGCGATTCTGCATTACCAACAGTGTATCCATTTGAAAACAGATATAGGTGGTTCCTGGCAATGGAACCTCACATACACACCTTCCCAGTGGCATTGTGGGTGCGTGTATACCAAGATTGCAATCCCTACTTCCTTCTTCATTCACCCGGGGTATGTGCAGGGAGGAAAATACATGGAGAACTTAATCAATGATTTTCAAACATGTATTAAGTAACCACACCCACCCTTGGATGGCAGGATCTAGGATCTAAATTGAAAGCAGCATGTTCAAGACAAGCAAGAAGTATTCCAAATTGGGGGGGGGGGAGCTACATTTTTGTGCTACAAACTCAGTAGTGTGTCTGCATCTAGAATCTTCTTAGAATGTTCTTTATTATGTCTGAACAATCAATGATCCAAAGGCTGCAATCATGCTTGTGGTTCCCCCTGGCATCATTGAGACGTATTGTTGAGTATACAGTGGTACCTCGGGTTAAGTACTTAATTCGTTCCGGAGGTCCGTTCTTAACCTGAAACTGTTCTTAACCTGAAGCACCACTTTAGCTAATGGGGCCTCCTGCTGCCGCTGCGCTGCCAGAGCACGATTTCTGTTCTCATCCTGAAGCAAAGTTCTTAACCTGAAGCACTATTTCTGGGTTAGTGGAGTCTGTAACCTGAAGCGTATGTAACCTGAGGTACCACTGTATAGGCGAAAGGCTGGTTGGTAAAATAAGGTGCTTCCAACCTCAATCCTGGGTTTTGTCTGTCCATTCTACCTACCAAGGATTTTTAAAAGTTCTTACAAAATGCATCGCAATGCGCTGAGAAGAGAAGTGAAATACGAGGTACAATCTCACAAATATGGGTGGCATAAATGATTGTTAAAAAATAAAAACAATATACCGTATAGTGCCATAAAAGTTGGTGAGGCTTTTGATGAGCAGGGATATGTTATAGGGGAAAAACAGAAGTGAAGCTTTCTATAACCAGTTTATTTACTTAGAAGTGCAGTCTGATGTTCACAGGGAACATAGAGTGGTGTATTCAGTCCTAATGCTAAACTTGGTTAAGCATCATGCGAACAACCTTTGGGCTTGGCTGCTCCTCTCACCTCTTCTGGTGTGGCTTTGAAGAGGATATCTGGAGCTATCACTTTTGCTTCCAGTTAATGGCAATTTAGCATAATTTCCAAACTTCAAACTGTGGTTACTGTTAATTATAGTTTAAAGAAATAAACCAGGATCAGAAACCATGGTTTAAAGTTGGCTTTCAGTAAACCATAGTTAAGACTAAACAGAGTTTGCCCAGGTTTGGACGTTAGACTAAACTGTAGCTGTACCACAGGAGAATGGAGTTGATGAGCCAAAGGCTTGTTCACGTTAGGTTAAATCATACTTGAGTGTTGTGTCTGAAATCAGCTAGTGAGTACGTCAGTGCCTGCTGGCAACTTGCTCTGGCATTCCTGAATTTGAATGAGAAGCAGCCAAAAACTAGGATTCTTATTTATGTGAACTGGGGTTTTGAAGGCAAAATCTTTATGATCCAACAGCCCTGGTGTTTCCAAGAGGACAAAAGTTAGGTTATAAGTTGCAGTTACCAGAATAATAAAACACAGTGTTCTGTCCTGAAGGCTCCAATCTCCCTTCCAAGTTCTTCATTAAATTGGATTTCTATAGGTGTCTGGTGTGTTTGGGTTGGGGGTTGGATGGGGAAGCTTGGTGGGCTGGGTTAGACCCCCTTGTTAGAGATTTCCCACTACTCATCTACAGTGAACATGGAACTCTTGATCCTACAACTGCCTGCAGGGGGAAGGGACCTGGTTCAGGAAGTGCTATCAGTGTGAAGAGAGGGGATAGAAGAAGGCAGGAACTGATGTTTGAATAGCACAGCAAGCAGAGGGGCACCATTTGTAGCAAATGCCTTGGGCCAGACAGTGTTGACTGTCTTGCTTATACTTCAAACCTCCTGAATCTCTTCCTCTTCTTATACATTAGTTCAAAAACAAATCTATAAAAATCCACTAAATCTCTTCCCACCCACTCCCTTGGCTCTCACTCCAGGAAAGCTTTTACCCAACCACAACCCAGTTAAATCCAAACCTCTGCTAAAAAATAAAAAGAAATGTCATCCTAAATCAATACCACATATCTGTTATAAGGCATTAGTTTCAGGAATTACATTCTGTTTTATGAATACATATCAAGATATCTGTTTTTTGTGATAGCAAATTATCCATTATTCACTGATTAATTTGGGGCAATTTATCATGAAATAGGATATGTTTTCCTTTCATAGGCTGGCTCCTTTTTAAGGAATTACTTAATGATAATAGGATTAAAGTGATTAAGTAGTGAATGGAGTGTGGTTAACATGTGCATGTAAGCCTTCCCACTAAGTAACCATATATTGTTACTAGAGAGGCTGGGTCCTGATCTTCAGCTCACTTGTTTTCTCAATAGGAATATACCATGGATGTTTTCTTTCGGCAAATGTGGATTGATGAGAGGTTGAAATTTGGTGGGCCCACTGAAATTCTGAGATTGAACAATTTAATGGTCAGTAAAATATGGACACCAGACACCTTTTTTAGAAATGGGAAGAAGTCAATTGCTCATAATATGACAACTCCAAACAAACTTTTCAGGATAATGCAGAACGGCACCATCCTGTATACCATGAGGTAAGTAGGCACTCTAATGGCATGTACTTTTGTTCTGACATGTATTTCCACCCCCAATCTGCTGGTGATTTAACTCAGCTCAATTCTGCTCTCCTTTGTAGACTTACCATTAATGCTGACTGTCCTATGCGTCTGGTAAACTTCCCTATGGATGGACATGCTTGTCCCCTGAAGTTTGGGAGCTGTAAGTATGCAAATAGTTCCTATCTTTCAGTAGAAGCAAAGTCTTAGGCAACATAATATACTGCCTCTTGATATACTGTTTCTTGAAATAGGGTCTTTAGCACAATCTCTTATAATGCTAGTATGTTTCTTAAAAATGGGCCCTTAATGAAATAATTTGCTGCAGTAGGATCTTCTAGGCTAGGCAACCAGGTCGGCTGCTCAAAGCAATGCTTTCTTACTGAGTTCCTGGACTGTGCTTTGCTACCTCAGCTGAACATAGCCTTGGTAGTAACTTGTAATGATTGGTGCAGTGATAATAATAATAATAATAATAATAATAATAATAATAGTCATAAGTTTTCAGTGTCTGTGGTTGTAAGTCTGGGGTGCATCAGAATTGACACTGATCCCCACAGCCACTTTCCTTATTTATTCCTTTAAGAAGCATTTTATATTTAAGGGGCTGAGGAGAATGAAATGCTTATTCCAATCTTAAGTTACAACCAGGAGTGCAATTTTAGTCATTGCTGTAAACCTTTTAGAGAAAATCACTTGGTAAAACTAGGCTATCCTCAAGAATGATACCTGCTTGGGTCAGTAGGCTTTAAGATAAGGACTCATAGGCGTAGAACCTATGTTGTTGTTCAACTCCCATCAGCCCCAGCCAGCATGGCCAATGGTAAGGGAAAATGGAGTTGTAGTCCAGCAACATCTGGGGACTCAAAGATTTCACACCCTGTGCTAAATCGGTGCCGAGGGAGAAAATGGGCACACACTCAACCCTTTATTCTTTCCCAGCCAAACTATTTGCCTAGGAGTCTGCTGCACAAGGACGAGTTAACAGTGGAAGAGAAACTTGGCCATTGTGCACTGAACTTACCTATCAAAGCTTGTGTGAAGCCTTGTAATTGGAAGCTGGGGATGAAAGATGCCATGTTCAGATCTCAAGTTTAGAAAAGCTGTCTCATGGAATTTGATTTAGGATGTGAAAACAAGTTTGCCTTGAGTCTCGCTTCAGGGTGCTTTGCCCAAGTTGATGGAAAAATAAAGGATTTTTCCTGAATTTAATTCTTAGTTTCACATCTCCCTCTCCAGTTCTTTGGCAAGGGAAGTGATATTTGTCACCTAGTCTAGTAGGAATATGGCAGTTCTCACCTGCTGGTGTGGAAGGAGGGAGAGTACCTAAAGGCATGATGAATGAGGCTTCAAGATGCTCTGTGAAGGATACCATGGCTTCCTTTCTTTCAGCCACAGGTTAAAACGTACGGGCAACATTTTTGGGTTGGAGAGATGCTTCAGTGGTTTCTGCATAAGCCTGGATATCATCACTATTGCTTAGTTATCATGCATGATAGGAATAGTTACAATTAATGATTTACTGAGGGAGGTGGATGTGTCTTGTTGGAATTGCAGTATAATACTGCAATTTCATCTACTTTGAAGTTTCATCTACTTTGAAAATTAGAACACAGGGATGGCATTAGCCTGCTGCAACAAAAACGACAGTGTCTTTTGGCACTTTATAGACTAATAGATTTATTATGGAGTAAGCTATTGTGGACTAGAACTCATCTTATCAAATGCATAAAATGTTGGTCTCAATTGGCAGACAGCTGTCCATTCATCCACCACCCACCCTATAGAGAAAAATATATAAAACATAGGCTTGGATCAGTGCTTAGTTAGTTGCTAAGTTGGTCCCATTGAAATCAATGGGACTTAAGTCATGACTAACTTGTTGGATTGATTTCATTGGGATCTCTGTTCAACCAATTTCATTCAGAACTAACCCACTGGGGCCAGGTGGCCATGAAATGCAAGTGGTATAAATGGCGACAGTTCTGTGTAAAGAATAAATATATGGAAGATAAGCACAGTGACCATATACAACAAAAGTGAGGAGCAGGGGGAGTGAGATGGTTGATAGCTGTGCCCTTTTTGAGTCTTTTCTCCATCCACCAAGACCTAGGTTGTCCTTTCAGCCACTCTGGTATGCTTACTTAACGCCAAGTTGGTCTTTAAGAAAATATCTGTCACTCACAATTTTGTCATAGATGAGGGAGCTAAACTGGTGTGTATTACCAAGACCTGGGTGGACTAGTTGGGTGGAATTGGCCTGGTGCAGTTTTATCTACCTGAGTACTTTGGTAAACAGCAGGGCAAGGAGGATGTCACTGTGGTCCATAAGGATTCTGTCTCACTCACCAGACCGTTCCACTCCTGTGTAGAATTCAAGGGATTGCATCTAGTGTGGGCCCGGGAGGCAAAATAGGGGTGCTGCTGGTGCCTCGCCCACCCCAACTCAGGACTTCACGGCTACCACAGCCGCCAAGGAGCATGCTGCAGTGCATGCCGTTGATTTGGTATTTGCGCCAGAACTTAAAGAGGATAGTCTGGAGCAGGGGGCTTGTAGTTTCTTTTTCTTTACAGTCTTACTATGGTTGTCAAACGCCTTGGTACTCATACATTTTAGCTCCCGAATGCTGAAAATCTGGAAGTAAGTGTTCCGGTTTTCGAATGTTTTTCAGAACCTGAACATCTGACGTGGCTTCTGCTTGAGTGCAGGAAGCTCCTGCAGCCAATCAGAAGCCGCACCTTGGTTTTCGAACAGTTTCAGGAGTCGAATGGACTCCCGGAACAGATAAAGTTCGAGAACCAAGGTTCCACTGTATCTGTTTTCCACTTAACAACAGTCATGTCTAAATGGTGTACAGGAAAGTTAATCCACTGTCATGGTCAGACCATTCCTTGGTGAGGTTTGGTCTGATGGCATCAGTTTCCACTGCAGGGATTGGGGACACATGAAGATGGTTCACTCCCAGAGACTAATGGAATTTGATGGATTCCTGAATACTCTTAGGGATTTTGTGACAGAGGCGGTGATCTTATTGAGCCCTATTGTTGCTGTGGAACGGTGTGGTGAAGCAGGTAATCAATGTGACCGCTCCTACGCGCCCTCTCTAGTGGCACGGAGCCCCATCTTCTCCCTTATTTTCAAGGCGGCTTGGGAAAATGAAGCAATTTGGACAATGGCTGGAATGCAAGTAGAGCAAATCTCAGCAGGAAGACGACACAAAGTTTGCTAGAGCACACGATTTCCCCTACCACATGGTGGTGAAGGTGGCAAAGAAGGATCTCTGTTGCATCCTCAGGTAGCCATGTGGCAGAGTTCTGAGTGGTATGGGAATTTTTCTTTCTTTCAATTTTGTATTTGCAGTTGTAACGAAAGAAATAATAATAATAATAATAATAATAATAATAATAATAACAACAACAAAACAAAAACCCCTGCCAGCTGACGTTGAAATTAAAATACTCCACCATAGGGGAATTTTTAAAGATTGATTCCTGTTAATATGATTTTAGAACCCTTAGAAAGCTGCTGTGACAAGTTTCTGAGGTACCTTGAGAATAAAATTGATTGCCCATAGGCTGAAATGGACACCAACATTGAGACAGGTTCCCAATAAAATGGAGACTTGGCTGGTGGCTGGTTCCCAGGCCCAGAAACTGGGCAAGTTACCTGTTTTGCACAGAGCTGCACTTCCTCTGAAGGAACAGACACATATTCCGGGGGATGCTCTGAGAGCCATCACTGTCATTGGAGGCACAAATGGTCTCTATGGAAAGAAACACATTTTGCTGGCATTGGCTGGTAAGGCAACTGTGGCTTTTCCTGGATAGTCTGGCCAGAATGATCCATGTGCTGGTAACCTCAAGACTGGATTAATGTAATATGTCAGGCTGCCTTTGAAGTTACTTTGGAACAGCCATGGCTAGGATTGCCACCATGAACATATTGCACCAGTCTTGAAAGAGCTCCATGGATGTTTTTCACATGCTGCTGAGCAAAGTTCAAGCTGCTTGCACTGACTGAAGACAGAGAGTCTTCATTCTATAGACCTGCCTATGAGTTAAGATCTATGAAGGAAACTCACCAAACCATTTCTAGACTTCCCTCCCTTCCCATAAGTGGTTGGTGCTGATTCTGCTGAGTTTTTGGCATCAGCTGAATGCCTTTTTTGCGTTGCTATTTTACATTGCTGGTTGCGTGCTAATTTGGATATTTTCCTGCCTGTTGTTGTTTAAACGTGTACGTGATTTTAATGTCAATGTGATGGTAATGGGATTGCTCTGGTAATGAAGAGCGGGTAAGAGAAATATTATAAATAAATAAAACCGTGATGGGGGAATAATAATGCTGTTGTGACTGGCTGCTGTGCTAATCTGGTGTGCGTTTAAATTTTATGCTGTGCCAGGAAGGGGAACCTTTTTCAGCCTGAGGACTACGTACTGCATTCTGGGCAAGCTGCCAACGGCAGTGAGGCCAGCGGCAGAAGTGGGCAGAACAATTAATGTAAATTTTACCTTTGTAGAATAGGCTAGTTTCTACACCCACTCACATACCATCATGCATCCCCCATCCAGGCAAACAAGAGGCAGTAACTGAGTTCATGGGCAGATTTCAGCCTGGCAAAAACACTCAGGGTGCAAAACAGGGTCAGTGAGGGGTGTGGCCTGGGCAGAGTGCCAGGAGCCAGACAGAGAGGCTTGGAGAGCTGCCTTCAGTGGCAGAGCTTCATGCTCTGGCACCAGGGGCAGAGAGGAGGCGGGGGCATGGCTGGCGCACGTCTCAGGAGTGTGACGCACCACCTGCGGGGGCAGGGCGCCCAGTGCGGGTGGGGGAGCAGCCCTGATGGCACCCTGGGGATCGCGCTGCCAGGGGAGGTGCACTCCCCCCGCACTCCTCTTCCTCCGCCAGGGGCTGCATTGTGCCAGGGCCTGCATGGTACCCTTTGCGTTTCCCAGCTTTTAGGACCTCCTGTCCACAAGTGTGAAAGTTGCACGGAAACTAAAGAGTCGTGCTGGAAAAGCAGAAAACGTTTGCCTTGTTGGCTTTTCCTTCAGCAAATGAAATATGGGGGTGTCCATTTCCCCCTTAAATCTAGACTGTGAGATAAGCCTGGAGCAAATCCCTGAGTCTCTTTAACCAGGAGAGTTTGAAATACCTCTCCTTGCATTTTCAATACTCAGACCCTCTAGCCCAAACAGGGAGTCTGCAGAAGCCAAAGTACAGTATTCTCTGGCCATTCTGAACTAGAGCATGTGATGGTTCAATAACAGCAACGGGAACAGTGCATAGAACATAGATCACACCACACTGTGTGCTTCAGCAGCAGCGTCTACCAAAGAAGAGATTTGCTGCTTATTTTTGCACTAGGAGTTAAGTATAATTAGCACATGACAACCCCCCTCCTCTCTCTCTTTCTCTCTCCCTGCCTGACTCAGATGCCTATCCTAAAAGTGAGATTATTTACACCTGGAAAAAAGGACCATTGTATTCGGTGGAAATTCCACAAGAATCTTCCAGTCTTCTCCAGTATGATCTTATAGGGCAAACAGTCTCTAGTGAAACGATAAAATCCAATACAGGTAAGATCACATCTGCATGCAGAGTGCCAACATTAGAATATGACTACTGAGATTTTCAACATGGTACTTTTTACACGCTCACAGTGTGACTTGTCTATGTGTCCAATGGCACGCTTGCTCCAACTGCTAGTCCTTTGGAGAATAAATGATAATGAATCTATTGCTGGGAGTTCTGATTGCTCCTCCCAGTTCCAGGCCACATCTCTTTTCTGCCATGCAGAAGGCGGTTATAGGCTGAGGTGCAAAGGCAAGGAAGCGGGTGTGTTATGGGACAATGAATTCACACTTTGCCTCAAAGCTTCCTAGGCAAAACTAGCTAAAATACCATTTTATTTGCAAGGTTTATATACAGCAGGAACACTTGGGAAATAAAAGATGTTGTCTTGGCTGTAAAATTCAGCTTCCTGTGCTCTCTTTCATTACCCCCCCCCAAAAAAAATTTATTTAGTCCATATGGTTGTGAAGTTATGCCTGGAAATTTGCGGACAATGTCTGTTGAAATCTGAGAAGCCTAGCATTTCAAAGGGACGTGGATAAGGCCTCCCTAATATAAAGTAAAACCAGAATTCATTGAAAAATACGGGGGAAATGCAAAAGGGTAGAATATGTTTGCAAATGCAGCTTTTCCTGATAACAGAATTATTATTTTTTAATGATGAATACACACAGCCCTCCCTATGTGTTTATTTAAGACATTCCAAGATTCTCTAATACATGGACAAAGATAATGCTGATATACTTGTTTCCTAACAGGTGAATACGTAATAATGACTGTTTATTTCCACTTACAAAGGAAGATGGGCTACTTCATGATTCAGATATATACTCCCTGCATCATGACAGTCATCCTCTCTCAGGTGTCTTTCTGGATTAATAAGGAGTCTGTTCCAGCTAGGACAGTTTTTGGTATGCTGGTATTATCATCTCTGCCCGAAACCACTCTGCATCATTCCATTTATCCACCATTTTTCATTGCTTTGTGTGTTTCTCATAGGCGAGTATTCACTTCAGGTACTCTATTTTCATCTGCAAAGGAAAATAGGCTACTATCTCATTCAGACATACATCCCCTGCATTATGACTGTAATCCTGTCCCAAGTTGTGTTTTGGATCAACAAAGAAGCTGTCCCAGCAAGAACTGTGGCTGGTATTCATGCTTTCTTCTCATGACCTTCATTTGCTCGTTGCTTCGTTCGTTCAGGGTATTGTACTGCGATAGAGATTAGCATTGTTTTTAATTAAAGAATGTGACAGAGGAAAACTATGTGTTGAGGATTTACCTGGGGGTAAGTGCCACTGAATCTTCTGTGTAGTCATGGATCTAACTGAACTTTTGCTGGGGAGATGGTTTCTAATGAACTTCCATAGGATCTCATTGCAAGCCTGTAGCTCTGCGGCTCTAGGAATTGAGTGCCACTGAACGCTTCTCTGCTCCTGCCAGTGGAAATGAATAGTACTTGCTGTGGCTTCTAGCTCAGGCTGTAAATCTGTTTATTGGGTACATGGCAGTTACACAAAGAGAAGTTGGTGTGTGCAGAGCTTGGAAGCCTGAAAAAGGATACATACAGAGGCCTAACAGCTTCCTTGTCACCCTTATTTTGCAGGGATCACCACTGTCCTCACAATGACTACGTTGAGCATCAGCGCCCGCCACTCTTTGCCCAAGGTGTCTTATGCTACTGCCATGGATTGGTTCATTGCTGTGTGCTTTGCCTTTGTCTTCTCTGCACTTATCGAGTTTGCAGCTGTCAACTACTTTACCAATCTTCAGACTCAGAGAGCAATGAAGAAGGCAGCCAGGGCAGCCGCACTAGCAGCCGCGCTCTCAGCAGCTACCGTACCGGCGGAGGACGAGATAGTCTCGGTAATTGCTCACATTTCTGATAATAAGCGTCGTATAGGAAGAGACAGCCAAAGTAGTGAATGCCAAACAATTGAACAATATTAAAGTGATCTTAGTCTGGGAGAGATTGCATAATCAAATCGCATCATCAATGCAGGAGCTGAGTAAGTTGTTTCCCCAAACTTTTAAAAGTGAAAGCGCAGGGATTATTTTGTGTGTGTGTGTATTTATATATATGACTGTATTCCATATCCATTTTATCAGAATATTAATTTTCAGCCTATCCAGTTTGCACGGCAGGAAATATTGCCAGGCAAATTTCTCCAGCGCTTTCTGTGTCACTGGCATGGAAAGCAACGCAGTATACCCTTCAAGGGGATGTGCACACGCCATATATTCTTGGATCAGTTTGTAACTGGCATTCTTTAAGTGGGTCATTGCGGGAGGGGGAGAGAAAGGGGGGATTAGACTTTACAGAAACTTGGCATCTTCCCATACGCTTGGCTGTCTTGGATGCAGCCCAGCAAAAGTTATGGAATGGCTGGAATCTTGCAGTGCCCAACTCACACGAGATATTAAAGGGCTTTACTTCATAGAAGGAAAAGCTGCTGCGCTGGTAATTTCAAACATCTTGTGTTTCCATCATGATAGAAATGCAATTTAAGAACTGCTTGGCAGATGCAGCAGTGAGAGAGACCCTTCTGGGCAAAGTCCCACTCCTCTCTTTGATTCCTCAATGCCCTCATGGTTCAGAGATTCCCTAGATGGCCCCAATATACTTCTTAACTTTCTTTCCTGCCTCCTCACTGGGATTCCTACCTTTTTTTTGCCCACCCCTGCTCATTTGCATCTGCAACCCAGCACAGAGAAATTAAGCAGGTGAAGCTTTCCCCATCACTTCTTTCTGTGTCAAGGAAAATTTAGTTCCTGAACCTCTATGCAGAGTCACAGGGACAGAGCCGTTTCCTCCACACGGATCCGGTACAGGAAGAAGAGTGAGGAAGCCTGCAGTCAACTTCACTGAACAGGGAGCCCGCAGTGTAGGGATGGTGAACTTAGCCTAGAACTGATGGGACCCTGAGTTGAAAAATACCTGGAGGGCCACAGGTTCCCAGCCCTACAGTGGTGGCCTGAGAAATTCTTGCCACACAGATGGAAAGGACAATAGCACAATGGTAAAATATATGCTAGCTATGCAGAAAGTCCTTTGTTTAATCTCTGGCATCTTTCAATAGGGCTGGGAAAGTCCTACAGACAACAATGAGCTAGATCAGGGATATGGGAACAGCTCATTCATTCGTTCATTCATTTCTTATTTATTCCATTTGTTTACCACTCTTCACAACACTGAGTGCAGGTAGTCCTTCCAAATGGCCCATGAGGTCATTTCTTGCAAGCCAAACCCACCTATCATTGAGGTGACACCATCTGATGTTACCTGTAAACAGGGGAGGAGCAAGGTGGGGGTGGTGAGGGCGGACCGCCCCGGGTGTCATCAGAGGAGGCAGGAGGCAGGTGGGCAAACAAACAAGCAGCGGGTGGAGGGAAGGAGAGAAGCAGAAGCTCCCTCAACTCAGGACCCAACCCTGTACCCCCCCCCAAAAAAGCTCAACAACTTTGGCCAACCCTCCCCTAAAAAAAGTTGAACAACTCCTGGCAATGACAATGGGTAGATCACAGCTAGTCTTTTTATACTGTGAGTAGATCCTTGCTCCTACCAACCTAGCAGTTCGAAAGCACGTCAAAGTGCAAGTAGATAAATAGGTACCACTCCGGCGGGAAAGTAAATGGCGTTTCCGTGTGCTGCTCTGGTTTACCAGAACCAGCTTTTCATGCTGGCCACATGACCCGGAACCTGTATGCCTGCTCCCTTGGCCAATAAAGCGAGATGAGTGCCGCAACCCCAGAATCGGCCACGACTGCACCTGGTACCACCTGACCTTGCTATGCCACTGCCTGTCAATCATTCCTGCTGATGCAAGTGCTTTCTGTGTCACGGCACATTTCCATGCCTTACTGCAGCATCTTCAGTTGATTGTGGCTTCAGTTGTCACTTGTGTCAGTGGCCTGGCTTAGTATGGCTGCTTTCTGTGTTGATACTAAATAGGGCCCCAGGAAGCTGGAAGATGGCATACATAACCTGTTACGGGTTCCCCCCTTATTTATTTCCTTGGGTAACTTCCTTTAAAGTGGGTTGCTGTGGTGAAGTAAACATAAGGGCTGTTTACCACACACTGAACTCCATATCGGTTTATGATGCTATTCTATGCTATGATTGGTATATTTTTCCTGGAAGCATTTCCGGACCTTTAAACAATTTTATGTTGGATGGGCAGATGCTTAATGGATACACTTTTCCACGCATGCCCTGAAAAACATCTGTTGAATTTTATGCAGGTGCCTAAGGTACAGGAGCTCTACCAGGAAAGGGAGAAATGCTCTTTAATAAACTTGTACCTCCTGTTCCATTAACGCCTGCATGACAGGCAAGCAACTGAGGAACTGAAGTTTTCCCTGTCATTAAAGGTTCTGTTGTTGAACATTTACTAGTTGTACAGCTGTTCAAAGTACAGGAACCCTGAAAGAAAAAAAAGTCTTCAATGCTTTGACCACATTATGGAGTTGACAGCATAATTCAATTATATTGAATTGATAATAGCCAGATGCATACGGACAGGTTAAGTGAAGGATGGGGAAAACCCTCCACTCCTTCAGATATTAAAAAGGTAAAGGGACCCCTGATCATTAGGTCCAGTCGTGACCAACGCTGGAGTTGTGGCACTCATCTCGCTTTATTGGCCGAGGGAGCCGGCGTACAGCTTCCGGGTCATGTGGCCAGCATGACTAAGCTGCTTCTGGCGAACCAGAGCAGCGCATGGAAATGCCGTTTACCTTCCCACTGGAGCGGTACCTATTTATCTACTTGCACTTTGACGTGCTTTCGAACTGCTAGGTTGGCAGGAGCAGGGACTGAGGAACGGGAGCTTACCCCGGTGCGGGGATTCGAACCGCCAACCTTCTGATCAGCAAGTCCTAGGCTCTGTGGTTTAACCTACAGCACCACCCGCATCCCCCTTCAGATATTAGAACACCCCAAAATAAGGTGCTGCTCTTTGGATAACACAGGCTTGGGTGTTTTAAGAGCTACTGCTAGTGGGTTGGAGCGTGACTACAGAAATGAATTCCGTCCAAGAGGAGTCATTATACTTGGAATGGGATAGTGCTGAGGATATATATCCTACTCCCTACCCCAGTTGCTTTCCCTCTTCATTTCTACTCCTGCTGGTAGTCCTGCATGCCAGTTATTCACTGTATAGGCTGCTGAAGTGTAGGAGGTCAGCCATGTGTTTGATGATCAAGCTGTGTAGGTTTTACTAATGCTGATATTATTGTTTAGTCATATCTGCATGCGGTGGAGAAGGGAGGTGGGTTTAGATTGCACCTTGTGTTCATCTCTTTTATGGACAAAACATTATTTGTCTTTATGGATGCAGAAAACCAGAAGCAGGGGACATTTCCTCCACCACTCACTGCATCACAATGTTGAGGTGGGAAGAAAAGCTTTACGTGAGTCTCTGCTTGTCAAGGAGGGACACGTGGGTTAAACCACAGAGCCTAGGGCTTGCCGATCAGAAGGTCGGTGGTTCGAATTCCCGTGATGGGGTGAGCTCCTGTTGCTCGGTCCCTGCTCCTGCCAACCTAGTAGTTTGAAAGCACGTCAAAGTGCAAGTAGATAAATAGGTACCGCTCCAGCGGGAAGGTAAAAGGCGTTTCCGTGCGCTGCTCTGGTTCGCCAGAAGCGGCTTAGTCATGCTGGCCACATGACCTGGAAGCTGTACGCCGGCTCCCTTGGCCAGTAAAGTGAGATGAGTGCTGCAACCCCAGAGTCAGTCATGACTGGACCAAATGGTCAGAGGTCCCTTTACCTTTTACTGCTTGTTAAATGGCAATTTTTAAAGAACACAAAAAGCAAAGGAAGCCGAACTCTGGTCAGTGTACCACACTCAGGGGCCAGGTTTTTCCACTGATTTCTGCAATCAGCACATTCCAGTGATAAGGCTTTTCCCTGGACTGTGACTTTCCTGCAAGTTTGAATGCTTCCCCACCAAAATCTCCCTCACCTGCATTTGGAAAAATGTTAGTAAAAAGGTTAGGCTAAATATTGCTCCCTGGCATGCTGTTTTTCTATGCACGTGTTTTGGAGTTGGTTGCAAGGTGGGGAATATAATGCATGCTTGTGTGTTATTTTCACTGTTGTGGATCCTAGCATGTGCTTTTTTGTATATATTACTTGTCTGAAGAACTGCATTGCTAAAGTGCAGATTTTGAAAGATGGTTGTGTTTTGGTTTGTGAACTTTCTAGATTCTCCTTTAAATGCAAACTGAATCAAATCTCTCCCCCATCCCTACGTGTGATACAACAATGTTGGATTTAGGATGGGATCAAGAGGGACAGAAACCCTACTCAGACATTTGTTCTTCTTCATATAGATATGGAAGTGGGGATGAGCACCTTTACTCCACCTGTTCCATTGCATTTCCGTTCACCCTCCATGAGTTGGAGGGTGGTGGTCCATAGCAGGGAGCTTGCTCAACTCCTGCAGACTCCCTGATACACAGTGCTGATGGCCAACCTCCGACTGTGAATGGCTGGGAATGTGCCAAAGAGGACAGGGCATGAGTGCTCATCCCTGTTCTTCCTCTGTGCAATCAACATTGCATATACAGTCGTACCTTGGATCCCGAATGCCTTGCGAGTCGAACGTTTTGGCTCCCGAACGCCGCAAACCCAGAAGTGAATGTTCCAGTCTGTGAATGTTCTGTGGAACCAGAACGTCCAATGCAACTTCCACAGCTTCCAATTGGCTGCAGGAGCTTCCTGCAGCCAATCAGAAGCTGGGCCTTGGTTTCCAAACATCTTGGAAGTCAAATGGATTTCCAGAATGGATTCCGTTCAACTTCCTAGGTACCATTGTAGTAACAACTGACTGGAGAGGATAGGGAGATAGCAGGATGCCATAGTTTCTTGAAGGGCTATTATTGCCATTAAAGGTAATGGTAAAGGGACCCCTGACCATTAGGTCCAGTCGTGACCGTCTCTGGGGTTGCGGCGCTCATCTCGCTTTATTGGCCGAGGGAGCCAGTGTACAGCTTCCGTGTCGTGCGGCCAGCATGACTAAGCTGCTTGTGGCAAACCAGAGCAGCGCACGGAAACGCCGTTTACCTTACCGCCGGTGTGGTACCTATTCATCTACTTGCACTTTGACATGCTTTCAAACTGCTAGGTTGGCAGGAGCAGGGACTGAGCAACGGGAGCTCACCCCATCGCCGGGATTCGAACCGCCGACCTTCTTATCGGCAAGTCCTAGGCTCTGTGGTTTAACCCACAGCGCCACCCGCGTCCCTTCATTATTGCCATTAGGAGTGCTCAAACAAAAGGGAGAGCTGGCATTTTGCTTATAAATATGCCTATGTATTTTAAACACACACACACACACTTTAAATTAGTGTGGTTGGAAAGATTGCCTTTTGGTGACAACATAACCCCTCTCCCCAAGTTCAAGATCAGCTCGAGAAGCAGGGATAAAGCCTGCCTGCCATCCTGCTGAAGCTAGTTCCAGCTCTGTTGCCAGCTGACGATAGCTGGCAGTGCCTGTAGTTGACAGGGCCTGTACGCCTAAGGCAGCACCTTAATGTTTGCATTTTTCATTGCAATGCCTTATAGACACTTGTAAGAATAAGCGCACATAATAGGCTTGCCAACGCTCAGAAAATGCTATATAGCTTTTAAAAAATGTCATGACATTTGAGAAGGGCTCAGTAGAAATGACTGAAATATCATTTGATTTGTCGGTATCACATTGCCTATTAGGTACACAGCGTAAGAGCAAAATAAGGTTTACAAAAGCAACATGAACCAATGCCAGACAACAGGAGTGGATGGCCCTTTTAATAACTAGGGCTGGATCCTGTGCACATTTATCTGGGAGTGAGATGTGCTGGACTCTGTTTCTGAATTTGTAGGCACACAAATGGAGTGCAACTTAACAGTACTAGCATTATTTGAGTGCCACTTTTCAGAACCGAAGCTCTCCATGAAATGGAGAGTTGAATGGAGTATCCTGGATAAGGGGATGGCTGGCTGGCTAGAACACATAAGCAGGAACATTTCAAATTGGAACATTTTTATGTGGTATTATGTAGTTTTATGTAGAAAAACAATGACCAACATGCATGCAGAAGGGTATTGGAGTCTCCATGTGTGATGGTGGTGATTGGCAAAATATTTGCTTGGGCCCCCAACCAAATCTTCTAAAAGGGTATCAAGTAATATCAACTCCTTTGATTCATAATGCTGTAAGTCAAGTACAGCAAGGTCTATTTATGGGGGTTATTTTAATTTTGTATTCCACTTTTGAAGCTCAGGTAGCTTTCATGGTGGCTCTCCTGTTATCCAGAAGCACCACTGTCACAACCTCAACAAGAGAACGTTTGGGAATTCAGAATATATTCACTTTCTATGGACTAAACGTTTTGGCATCAAGAACAGTGAATTACAAAAGGAGAGGTGGAACTATATATATATATATCCCTGTTTGCGGGGATTTTTTAAAAACAAAAACAAACAAACAAATGTTTTCTATTTCATTCTTGCACAATAGATATTTCTGCTTATAATCCGATTTCGATCTGAGCTATGTGTTATAGTTGTAGGAGACTATATTAAAATAGAGCAACTGTGAAAGTAAAGAACATTGAAGGAATATCTCAGTTCCTCTTAGAACTGCAGCACACAGTTCACAGTAATACTGGTAGCAGACAATATACTACATTTAAATTGCTGGATTTGTCCTATATTTACATTCTGTATTTACATTCTCTGTATATATACACATAACAACTCATTAAAAACAAGTAAAACAAGGAACCCAAACCCAGCAAGTGATGCATCAGGTTGACTAGTGTCTGTGCAAATCTTGATCTGTTGCTTCCATGAGACTGCAGTGACATCGGGAGATAATGCATCTTTAAATGGCGCATGGAAAAGCTTTTTACCTGCCAGGATTGTATATATCTCCTGCTGCTAGTGCTACTGACATTAATAGCATCAAGAGACCAAATTGCAGAAGTTTCTTTCCCAAATATAGAAGCAGATAATGGGTAAGAGGGAGAGAGAAAAATGAATGTAGGCTGTCCTTTAATTAATTTAGACTGGAGATTTGAATAGAATTCTGGAACAGGCCTGGATAAAAGAAGAAGAAGATCAACACGTGTTTTATAAATTAGCAGTGCTGTGAGATATTAATGTTGCAATAATAACAATAATATCATTTAAGTGATTGTCTCTCATATTATTAGTCAGTCTTTTATTGCTGGCATGGTTTATTGTTGGGATGACTCTTGATGGAGAGACTTTCCATGGGATAGGACCCACCTATTGAGAGGCTTTCTCTTTTACCAGTTGTAATCTCCAAGTGTGGCTGTCACAATGTGGGAAGTGCTGCTCAGATATTTGATAAAGGGAGATTCTCTCCTTTTAACTCTCTCTAAGAGCTGGTGCGCAGGGCATTCAATGCACCTGTTTGCCAACAGACTGAGTGCACACAAGGAGGCCACACTTTTTCATGCAACACACAATTAAATTATATCTTCAACATAAATCAAGATATAAACTCAGTTCTTCTAAGATACTGTGATTGCCACTAATAGTATGAGACCTGAGACCATTGTGGAGGAATAATCTATCAATGATTATTAGCTACACGACATTAAAAATAGGATTCCTGTATATCTCTGATTACTAAATACTGGAGACCAAGAAGGATATTACCCACCATCCATTGTTTGTGAACTTCCAGACTGCTTGATTAGATTGTGTTCTTGTAATGATATCAATTTCACAGAACTCATGCTGTTTAATGGTAATATTTGTCACCTGCAGCAATTTCCGTTTACCTGAATATGGGTAATATCAGCTTTAGCTATCCATGTACGAGCAGTTGTAACAATTGCTGAAGCACAAAGACCTGTGGTCCTATCGCCCTGGAGGCTCCAGGGCTATCATCGCACATTGTCCAATGTCAGTGCCGTCTTGTGACATTATACTGCCTGAGGAGGTGCAGCAAATGGCAGCCTCCAAATCGGCCAAAATGCAGTTACCCAGGCTAGCCAGTCCCTTATTTTCTGTTTCTATTTATTAAATTTGTTTGTCACTTTTCACAAGCAGGACTGCTCCAAAGCAACTTACAGCATGAAATGCGTTACAGATGTATAAAACAGGAGTAAAACACAATACCTAAATGATATTAAAAGAACAAATCCTATTCACCTGACTAAAAGATGAACACTAAAAAGGCCAGAAAACAACTCACTACCCTCCCAACCAACCACCAAAGGTGGGAGAATGGAGATAGACTTCAAGGCCTGAGAGCTGGAAGCTCCATTTCATATTATGCCATCACACTAGGAATTCCATTTTTAAAACTGTGAAGCTGATCTGATCAGTCACATGAACCAAAGGAGAGGATTTGCTGTTATGAAGAGAGATTTAGTGAAATATAGGAAGCTTCTTGGGACGCGGGTGGCGCTGTGGGTAAAACCTCAGCGCCTAGGACTTGCCGATCGTTAGGTCGGCGGTTCGAATCCCCGTGGCGGGGTGCGCTCCCGTCGCTCGGTCCCAGCGCCTGCCTGCCAACCTAGCAGTTCGAAAGCACCCTTGGGTGCAAGTAGATAAATAGGGACCGCTTACTAGCGGGAAGGTAAACGGTGTTCTGTGTGCTGTGCTGGCTCGCCAGATGCAGCTTGTCATGCTGGCCACGTGACCCGGAAGTGTCTCCGGACAGCGCTGGCCCCCGGCCTCTTGAGTGAGATGGGCGCACAACCCTAGAGTCGGACACGACTGCCCCGTACGGGCAGGGGTACCTTTAGGAAGCTTCTTAGTAACATAGAATTGGAAGGGACAATGAGGGTCATCTAGTCCAACCCCCTGCAATGCAGGAATCTTTTACCCAACATGGGGCTTGAACCCACAACCCTAAGATTAAGAGTCTCATGCTCTACTGGCTGAGTCATCTTGGACAGTAGGAGTAGCTGAGTGTGAACCGGTAGCCTGTAGACACTGGAGATAAATTGCAGATATATTTTGATCCCAAACTGAGGTCTGGCATCGCAATTGGAACAGGAAGCAGTTCTTGCCGTAAGCTAGTTAAATGGATTAGGAGGTGGGAATTGTATTTTTTGTACATTATTCTTTTAAGAAGAACTGCAAGAATGGGAACTCTATTGGCAATCTATGGCAATTATGCCAAAAGGCTCTTCTAGTGATATATCTGCTTGTTAAATGTGAAGCATGCATATTGAGCAAAGGTAATAATCTGATTTTTCCCCACAATAGCATTACAACATCAAACACCTATATCCTGAATCTAATACATTACAGAGGAAATAAGAGAGGTCCATTTCCTGACTGCCAATTTGATGTTATTGTAATTGATTTCTTTTAACTTTACTGGAGATGCCACTAAGGTACATAATTCGCAGATATATGGAAAGTAGAAATAATAACTATATCGATGTCTTGGTGTAAACTTTTTATGGCATCTAGGAACATAGAGAAGTATTCATTTTATGTGACTGCCTGACTACAAGTTGCACTGATAGCAGGAATCAAATATCCATAGCACAAAGCGGACACAATTTGGTGATATTTTAATACGAATACCCCTTGAAAGTATTCCACAGAAATATAGAATGGTAGGTATAAATTGCCTCTTTAAAGTACAGGGTGAATAAATAATACCCTCAAAATAAGTTAGTACAAGTGTTAGCAGAATGCAATGCAATAAAGTATAGTAGCTGCATTTTAAGACCTCAAGCCCCCATCTTCACTCAGACATATCTAAGAAATGTGCTCAAATTTATTGCCCTCTTGGAGAAAGTATTAGCATACTAAGAAGAAATATAAAATCTCATAGAAATTCAAGTTGAGAACACTTAACAGCTAAAACCAACACTAACACCCCAGCTTAACTGCCATGAATGAAAGTAAGGGTCACTATTTATATAATATATGAATTGACCCAGTGTCCATGAGATTTCCTTTCATCCATTAGAAATAATTCCCACTAAGAAACCATCTGTAGTTGCTGTTATGGCACGGGCAGTCTTTGCAATAGAAGTGGATATCCATTCTGAATTTTTGTTGGAACGTGAAAGACTGGGTTTGGTCCAAAGCTTTCCTGCTTATCCTGACATTGTTGACCCTCCTCCCTTCCCCCCTCCATCATAAACAGAACTGGAAGAAGGCCCCAGAATTCTGGGCCTACCTGTGTGTGACATGTGCTGCGATTAGCATGCGGTGTAACTCTGTTCAGAAGGGACAAGGATTCTAATAAGGCAGGCGGCAGCGCTTTCATTCCTTTCGTAAAGCAAAGGCACCTCAAGCCAAATCTGAAAGTGACTGTGACTGAAAGCAGTGGCTCAAAGACTCCATTTATAGAGCAGGATTATTATGATGATTAGTGCAAGTGGACATGGATAACCCTCTTTCTGCTTCTGTGACACATCTGTGGATGATCTCCCCTTTAAATCTGTCTTCGGCTTGCTGTGTAGGAGGGAAAATAGAAAATCAGACATCTGTGTTCCTGATAGGCAGAGCCCCATCGTATATATGTACATGTAGACTTTAGAACCTTCTGCAAAGCATTTTCCCTGCCAGTTATTTGGGTTATAATGTGAGTGGCAAAGGAATGACGATTCAAGAAATGGACATTTTAGAATGGGGAGGTGGGGGGGAGCAGGAGTGACTGAGTTTGTTTGGTCTACAGAAAAGTAGGTCACTAGAAGATCTTCTCTTTCTGAAAATCAAATATGATGGGAGAACACCCAATTATCCCCATCACTGGGGATCCTGTGCATATATCCAAATGTTGTATTTCCATTCCATTTCTGAAAGAGGCCTCTATTAGGAGGTGCTGCCAGTTGCTATTGAAATGGGAACTCTCTCCAATCCCTCCCCCCCCTTAGCTTAGCTTTTTGGGAGTTTGTCTCAGGATTGCTGGGATATGAAGATATCCTTGTGTTCTCTGTACCTCCTTTTATTATGGCAGTCTGTAGCGCATGAGTGAATATATGTGCAGTGAGAAAGAGGATTGTAGCAGAAGCTCCATCTCTACTTTCAAAAGTGTGAAGGCTTCATGTATGGATAGAGAGGGAGAGACAGACTCTCATGTTCTATATACAGTGGTACCTTGGGTTACAGATGCTTCAGGTTACAGACGCTTCAGGTTACAGACTCTGCTAACCCAGAAATAGTACCTCGGGTTAAGAACTTTGCCTCAGAATGAGAACAGAAATCGCGCGGCGGCAGTGGGAGGCCCCATTAGCTAAAGTGGTACCTCAGGTTAAGAACAGTTTCAGGTTAAGAACGGACCTCCAGAACGAATTAAGTTCTTAACCTGAGGTACCACTATACCTCTTTATGTGAATATTCTAACCAAAGATGCAATAATACAGTGGATATTTTAGAACAGGTTTGCCTCCTGGATGGCTAATTTGTAACTGTGGAGCCAGTCCTTAAGCACAGCACTTAAGCTGGCCTTCTCTAGTGGACTAGGTAAAGGGACACCATCTTAAGTTGTCAGTGGCATTTGCTGTGTAGCACGGAATGAATCTTTTGCTTTTGCAATGGAAACGCTTGGTGCTATCACTGTATCACACTATCAGATCACTGGCAGGGAACCACAGTGGAGATGAGCTTCATAAGCTTTGCAATATTCTCCCAGGGCCAATTCAGGTAAACAGATCACTTGGTAATAATCCCATCATGTGCCAGCTTTCTCTATCAATGACCATGGCCTGTGTATGACAAAGAGGTCTTCCCTGTAGAGATGTGGGCCGTTACTAAGGAAAGCAAGAGACCTGTCTAAGAACAGACCCATTTTTTTTGCTACTGAGACAGCTGCATTAGGTCTTTTGTTTTCCTTTTTCAGTCTCAATTTAAAAATCTGCATACATTTAAATAATTGAAAAGTGTGCTTACATTTAATGCAATTAACATGTTACGTTAATTCTTTTTCCCTGTGGGAAAGTTTGCATCTCTGTTTGGTAATGAGTTTGCCACCATGAGTCTGCACCACAGCCAGCGAAGGCCTAGGAAGATTATTCTGGTTCTGAGATATGTTTGTTAGTGAAGTGGGAGGTTTTGCAGAGGAAAAGCCTATGTGCCTCAATTCCACCCTCAGCCTGTCTCCTCCACTGTTCCCCACTTTACACAGTGCTGATTGCTGCATGGTGGGAAAGGGCTTTTCTTATGAAAAGTTCAATATATATATATTTTGTTAACTTTGCTGCATTAAGTGTGCATTCTGTAGTTGATTTCCTTTGTAATGCTTTATTTTTAAATTGGTAAGATAATATTTTTGTTTCTTGTTAATTATATTGCTTGGAATATTAACTTTATATTTGACTTTCTCCAGTAATGTTTTATTCTCGATTGTTTTATTTCATGTTTTAATGTAATAATAATAATAATAATAATAATAATAATAATAATAATTTATTATTTGTACCCTGCCCATCTGGCTGGGCCTCCCCAGCCACTCTGGGCGGCTTCCATAGAAACCAAAAATACAGTAAAATATCACAGATTAAAAACTTCCCTGAACAGGGCTGCCTTAAGATGTCTTCTAAATGTCAGGTAGTTATTTATCGCTTTGACATCTGATGGGAGGGTGTTCCACAGGGCGGGCGCCACTACCGAGAAGGCCCTCTGCCTGGTTCCCTGTAGCTTTGCTTCTCGCAATGAGGGAACCGCCAGAAGGCCCTCGGCGCTGGACCTCAGCGTCCGGGCAGAGCGATGGGGGTGGAGACGCTCCTTCAGGTATACTGGGCCGAGGCCGTTTAGGGCTTTAAAGGTCAACACCAGCACTTTGAATTGTGCTCGGAAACGTACTGGGAGCCAATGTAGGTCTTTCAAGACCGGTGTTATGTGGTCTCGGCGGCCGCCCCCCCAGTCACCAGTCTAGCTGCCGCATTCTGGATTAGTTGTAGTTTCCGAGTCACCTTCAAAGGTAGCCCCACGTAGAGCGCATTGCAGTAGTCCAAGCGGGAGATAACTAGAGCATGTACCACTCTGGCGAGACAGTCCGTGGGCAGGTAGGGTCTCAGCCTGCGTACCAGGTGGAGTTGGTAGACAGCTGCCCTGGATACAGAATTGACCTGCGCCTCCATGGACAGCTGTGAGTCCAAAATGACTCCCAGGCTGCGCACCTGGTCCTTCAGGGGCACAGTTACCCTATTCAGGACCAGGGAGTCCTCCATACCAGTGGAGTTTGTAAACCGCTTTGAACTTTTTTCTTAAAATTATAAAGTAGTATAGAAATGATGATAATGATGATGATGATGATAATATATTAATGGAAATAACTATACACTCATATCCAGATTGTATTGACCATTGAAGCATACAACTATCCTTTCTACATCAGTAAAACATAGAACAAAGCAAATCTTGATGTAATCCTTAAACTGCTGACAGCTGCTTTTTAATAGTGTTTTGTAAAGCCCATGTGCACATCATCAATACAGAGAAAGGGAGAGGGGGATGTCCCAAGAGAGGACCAAAGGAACTGAAATCTGTGGCAAACTGTGCAGTTTGCAAATTTTGAAAAGGCAACAGTGGGACAAAGGAGAACCCGGACTGCATTGGCTTCACTTCAGAAATAAGATCATATAATCCAGAATCTTGAGAGAAATTTAGACTGGCAAAATTTCCAAAACATTTCTAGTTTATGAAGAACACCTGGCAATGCAGAGCAAAACCAGGTGAAAGCACTTGCCCAGAACCAGTGTTGGGGCTCCCATTGCTTTGAACCGAAAGCTTCACTCTCCTGCTTGCATCCGTGACTGTATCCCCTCAGTAGTGAGCGTTGAGGCTCCGTTTGGTTTCTTCCACTCTTAAATGTGTTTGTCCTCAAGCCTCCCTTGCAGACACTCACACACAATTATGTATCCTTGCTGGGTGACACACAACATGAAATGACTCTTAAATATATTAGCCCCAAACTGCTGTTGTAAATGCTGCAGGCCATAGCGAGATGTGGAAAACAAAGCCATATAATAATTTGCGTTTGGTAGAGGTGGAAATTGAGAGAGCAAAGCATTCTTCAAGTCCAGAAAGGAGAGGTTGCTAGGAAATTATAGGAGAGGGGGACAGCATATGGAGACCATTTTGGTTCAGTTTTTAAGTGAATGCAATATTTGATGTTTGAATTTGTCCTTGGAAAATTACAGTTTATTAGAGGAAAGTGCAGTTCGCTACAGAAATAAAACTGTTGTTGGCTTTCTTCCAATCTTCCTTTTTAAAAACATACACACAGCAAAATATGTCGTCTCTGGATTCTTCTATAAGGATGTTTTCTCATTTCATGTCAGAGCATTCCACCAAATATAACCTGCCAACAAAGAATGGAGATCAGAGGGATAAGATGCAGATACATAGATTTCAAGGGTGACAACAATGACTTCCAGTGTTTCTGTGCTTGTTTGTTTCATGTTGATTTTAGAGCAGGCAGTAGCAGCTAGGGGGTGGGAGAATGATTAAAAAATGGAAGAGGGGAAAACAAGAATTTAATATTCTTAAATATTAAGTATGGTGAATAAAACCACAGAGCCGAGTTTCTTGTAAACGGTGTCGTAACTATATTTCTCCTTGTAGCACTCCGACTCCAACTGCAACTTGAAGAAGCGAGTCAACTCTATGACGTCTCAAACAGATCAATCCCTCGAAACAAGCATGTTGTCCAATAGTGCATCTCAAAGTCAACAGACATCTGTTACTACGCCACCGCCGCCACCACCACCACCACTAATTGGAGGCACGAGTAAAATAGATCAGTACTCCAGGATCCTCTTTCCAGTGGCATTTGCAGGATTCAACCTGGTATACTGGGTGGTTTACCTTTCAAAGGACACTATGGAAGTGAGTAGCAGTATTCTCCAGCAATATGAAACCTGAATCTGTATTGAGCTGAATTTAACACTAAAGGAGAAGTTTTTGAATGAATAGCTATACCATGGGCCCACCACATACAAGTACTGTAAGAATTTGCTTCCAGGGGTCCACGCACAAAGGCCAAATTGCACAAAGTCAGGAACCCCTGGAACTGCCTCCACAAAGTGGAATGCTGCTTACTGTGATCTGAGAAGGTCACGGGAGGCCCCTAAGAGCTTCCCAGAGCCCTCCCTCGACCTTCCCAGACCCCTGTAAGTGAGGAGGTGCCTTCGTTACCAGCCTCTGGGACACTTCCAGAGCCCTCACACCTCCTTCCCAAAGCCTGGTAAGCAAGGAAAACCTGCTGGGTGGATGGAATTAAATAAATGAGAAGTGGAGAACTTTGTCTTGCAGGCTTACTGTAGTTGGTATCTTAAAGTCATGGTCAAGGCCATGACCAAAAGGGATTTACTTTTCATTTTGATGGAGGAAAAATCAATTCATGAAAAGGGAGGGTGCAAGTATGGATTTTCTTTTTCTATTAAAGTGACTGGGCAAGCTGGCTCATGCAGGAGTTCCTTCTCCTACACAGTGAGTGAGAGAGAGAGAGAGAGAGAGCGCGACCGACAGACAGACAGACAGACAGCGCTAGAGAATATAGATTGACTCCTAAGATAAGAAAGTTTCACATTCCTTCTCTCCTGCAACACCCCTGCCAGCCTCTCTATAGGGTCTGGGGCCTCTCCTGAATAATGGGGCATGGGGTGGGGTGGGGTTGTAGGCCAGGGATGGGATACAGAACTTTCCTTCTGTAAACTTCCTCAAGTTAACTTTTCTTTAGGATCCAAGCCAATATGTTTATTTTGTATTTGTTTGTTAAATTTGTATCTTGCCTTTCCACCAAACAGTACTTAAAAGTGGCAAATGATGGCAATACAAATGCAATGGTTGTTCAGAAGTTAAAGCCAGATGAACACCTGGTGGTTTGCTTTGGGAGTCACCAGCTAATCTGACCAGGAGATGGGCTGAATCGGGGTAATCAATGTAGAGCCCTTCAGATGTTGTTGGGTCTCCAAACTTCCATCCAGGCAAGATGGCCAGAGGTCAATGTTTATGGGGGCTGTAGCACAGCAACATCTACAGTGCATCATATTGGCTGCCCCTAGGATGGATAGAACAGTCTGCTGCCTTGAGCCCTCATATGATTACCATCACCTATGAACTTTTTGATGTCATTTGACTCTTCATATGTGATAATAAAAGCATTAGGAAGCATCCAGTTATATTTGAAAACAGCCTACTAGCTCCACTAGTTGCATTACCCCTGTTCACAAGGAATAAATAATAATAATACCTGGCAATGAAATATTATAATATATTTGGCTGATATGGGGTGGGCATTTTAAAACTGAAAATCTACTTACAGTGAAATTATCTATGAAGCTAAATCATGTTTCCGCACAAACAGGAATAGCGACTCCTGGGGAAATAAGTTGCTTCCTAACTGTATGGTGGTAGCCTAGATCTTCAGGCACAGTAAAAGAATTCTATTTGAGGAGTAATTGGTTGGTTGTGTGGTTTAAGAATCCCACATAGTGTTTCTTCAAGTGTAATTTATCTGGGGCAAAGTGACAAATTCAAAACACAATCTCCAAGGTAAAATTATAAGCGGAGGTATTTAGACTACAGCACTTTGTGAAAGTCAGGTTTTGCTGCCATGGGGAAATGTGGGTTTACCACTGAAATGCTGACAGATGTTTAATTGCAGAAGCATGCCTGGTGATGTTTATAATTTGCAAAATCAAAGTATTAATATCATTGTTTTAAGAGGACAGACATCCCCTTCTACGCAAGATCAATTTGCAATTAATTTAGATGGAATGTTGCAGTACACAGCTTCTCTATCATACGCACATGACTTTGGACGAATGCCATATATTTCGTAGTTTATCTAATGCAAACACACACTTCTGGTAATCACAGTGGGATTTACCACTCTGCAAACTAGCACAGACAGTCACAAGCCAAGTACAGAGATTGATGGAGTAAGGATTTTCCTTTCCATTCCATTAAAGAAGCTGCCTGTGTGAATGTAGAATTAGGGACAAAAGAACATTAATTTTTGGAAATGCCACAAATAGATTCTCTCACTCCAAGAACATTTGCTACAAAAAAATAAAATAAAATAAAAAAGTTTATAAACATTTTTTTAAATAGACAAATGAATATTTTAGTCTTCAAGCCACCACTTACCCAGGTCTTTAGCTGAGCTTTTAGGATGCCAGGGAATTTCACTATCAGAATGTTTATCAACAGCACAGTTTCTGAGAAAAAAGCATAAGATTAATGTTTTGCTGAAGATAAACTTCACACTGTAACTGTATGCTTTGTTGGGCAGGAGAGACAGAAGCCCAGGGAGGCAGAGCTGCAATCTGGGGGCTGAGTGGAAAGAGGAATTCAAGAGCAGACAGAAGGGTCAGAAAAGGAAAAATGAAAGATAGGATGGGTAAAAGAGTAAACAGGCTAGATAAAGGATGGTTTGAGAGAACAGGAAGTTATGAGTACAAGGAAAAGTGGGGGGAGAGGGAAAGCCTTACACCGAGGAGGAAGAATATATTATTTAATGTGATGAAAAGAAAAGGAAATTAAGCTTGGGGGGGGGAAAGGTCATGGACCCTGTTGAACAGGAAATCCAATGACACAGGAATAGTAGGAAGCTGGATTTTACACTCTTATTTGAAACAACCAGCCACAGAGCATTGTTAAGTATAAAGTATAAGTATACCTACGGTATATTGTCTAATTTGCAATGATAATGAAATATCTGCTGGGAGGAACGCAGAGAGAAGAAACTACATGGTGCATCTGCAGCAGCACAACTGGACATCTTCATCTGCCCCAGCTGCAACAAAACATGTCTCTCCCACATCGGTCTCTACAGCCACATCAGGCTCTGCGACCTCCCAACAGCTTGACTTCACCCCCAAAGGCACGCTCCTCCATTTTCTTCCAAGGAAGATGGATGCCAGCACAATGACAATGGAACATATACACTGGTACCTCTGGTTACGAACTTAATTCGTTCCGGAGGTCCGTTCTTAACCTGAAACTGTTCTTAACCTGAGGTACCACTTTAGCTAATGGGACCTCCCACCACCGCCCCACCGCTGCCGCATGATTTCTGTTTTCATCCTGAGGTAAAGTTCTTAACCCGAGGTACTACTTCCGGGTTAGGAGTCTGTAACCCGAAGTGTTTGTAACCTGAGCTGTACTTGTTTGCTCTTTGTTTCAAAAAGATGAAAAATAAAATAAAATAAAAAGTTGTGTTGAGGTGGAGAACTGGATCTGACTGATGGGCTGGATTCTTGTCTCCCCCACCCCTAATGGGCCATGTTTGACAGGTTGGTGGGGTTGCTCACCTGACATCACAGTGACGTCAGGTGACCCATTTCCCCCATGTGCTTTGAAAGCAAGGCATGTGGACAACGGCACAGTTCTTAAAACTTTTAAGCATGAACTTCAGAATTATTCACATGTAAGCTTTTATGGAGCTACATTTCAGTTACTAGGCAGGTGGGAGGGGAATGTGTAGAAAAGAAATAGCTAGAGAGTCATTGCCATGCACACTTCATATTGGGCCTTATTGAGTCACGTCAGCTACGATTCTTCCATACAATAAGCTGCTGATTTAGGTCTTCTGAGACAAATGAAAATCAATAGCACCCATGTTGCTGATTGACTGCCCTGTAGGGAGTATTTTACTGAATTTTCCTTTGACTCTTTCCTTTCAGTTTTTTGAACCTACTGCAATGCATCTTCGAAATGACCATCAAACCAACTGATGGCTGCAAACTCAGGTGTGACAAAGGACCAAAAGACTCACCGGGCTAAGTGACTGGTTCTAAAGACAATTGTGGGGCTCTGGTCACTGAATGTAAAATACTTCAGTGTTTGAAGACATCACTATGAACTCTTGGCACAATCCATGTAAAGTATGTACCCCATGGAGGGTGATCACTGGAACAAGTCCTTCTATTGATTCCCTTTGTGTTTTAGCTCGTTCTCTAAATAGCTCAGGGCTGAAGCTTGGGCTTAATTATTCACTTATGCTCAAATTGTTGCTCCCTACAAGGTGCTTTTCTAGGCCATGTATCAAATTGCATAGCATGGTAGGTGGAATAATACTTGCACAAACATCAGGGTGAGAGGCTGCCACTTAACCAAAAAATTCAGACAAGCACACTTGTAATTAAGCTGACCTAAAACCTGATTCTATGAGCACTTACTCATGAGTAAGTCCTGCAGAATTTAGCTTACTCCCTGGTAAATGTGCATAAGACTAGTAAATGTGCACAGGACTGCAGCCTTTGTCCCACCAAGTTAAATGGGAAAACATGAGCTAATGCTGTATTTAAATATTCCAGGGACGGTAGCATTTTATAACAGAGCAAACCAGACTCAGAATAACACCTTAACATCCTTTATGTACCCTGCTTAAGTCAAGGTCTTTTAGATTTTTTTTAAGGTGATGTATAACTTTTGATAGGGACGCGGGTGGCGCTGTGGGTTAAACCATAGAGCCTAGGGCTTGCCGATCAGAAGGTCGGCAGTTCGAATCCCTGCGACGGGGTGAGCTCCCATTGCTTGGTCCCAGCTCCTGCCAACCTAGCAGTTCAAAAGCACGTCAAAGGGCAAGTAGATAAGTAGGTACCGCTCCGGCGGGAAGGTAAACGGTGTTTCTGTGCACTGCTCTGGTTCGCCAGAAGCGGCTTAATCATGCTGGCCACATGACCCGGAAGCTGAATGCCGGCTCCCTCGGCCAATAAAGCGAGATGAGCACCGCAACCCCAGAGTCGGTCACGACTAGACCTAATGGTCAGGGGTCCCTTTACCTTTATAACTTTTGATAAATGAATAAATGAAATTGATAAAAGAGCAGGATCTGCAAGCTTCCTTTCATGCACAACTTGGGGCCAGATGCAACTAAGCTCATGAGCTGGAGGAATCCATATCTGAACGATTTGAAAAGACTTTTTTAAAGCGTTGAGCTTAACAAAGAGACAACACTGCCAATGGGGCTCTGCTTCAGGCAGCCAAATGTGCTGGGCTGAAAGGGGTGGGTTGCTTCTCCCTTTTCAGATTTTACTCCTCTTCAACTCCAGTTTAAGCAGGAAGCTTTCTAGAACACAATCCAGAACTGAAGCATGCACATTGTTTTTGGGTCTTCCAGCTCACTTGAACCTTTCCCCCCTTATGTGACACCCACATCTTTGGGGGCAATGTTGCACTGAAGTGCACATGTGCTCCTGCACATTAGTAAAACACTACATAAAAAAGGGATCTTGATACACCAACATATGCCGTCACATAAAGGTTGGTTGTTTTTTTTACATAATGTGCATTTGACAAAACAACACAGAAAAAGATTCTTGATGCAATCATGAATATGTCTGCCTCAAGATGGATAAAGCACAGCATTTGCAGATCAGTAACACACAAGGAGATCCCTTGTAATGTTTAGTCCTGCCATCTGTAATGTCTAGAGCCATCTAGTCTGGAGAAATAAACACACTGAAGTTCCCATGCTTCACCTCAAGTGAGCTGTTGATTAAGATGCATGCTATTGCTAATGGAAAAGTTATAATTCTACTGAGATTAATGAAATTGTTGATAAACACCAGGTGAGAATTTGGCTTAGAACTAGCAAAAGATTAATATATATATTTTAAAGATGAATGCTGCACATTTCATTTTGCTATGCATTTTCATCCTACTGTATGCATCCCCCCCTGATTAATTTTTTTAAGAAGAAAGATCTACAATTATGATTATGTAAATTGCTTGAAAGAAGCTGAACCATTCATTGTTGGCATTCTCTGTTCAGTTGCATCTGTATTTCTCTTGTGTCTTTATATAACATACAAAGTATTGCCAACAAGTTTAGTGGCTCCCTTTTATTTTATCTGGAGGTATTCCAGTCTGTTGTAACACTTTTATAACACACATTTTTGGGACATGCTTCTGAGATTTTATGATCCTGAATGTAATGGGAGAAAACTTTGCTAACCAAATTGTTTCAGCTCGTTTTCCTTCCAGTGAATGCTAGTTTGGGAATCCGTAGCGTGACAAATGGCACAATGTACTCTATGTACTCTATATTCTGTTCAAAGCACTGTGTGGCTAAAGGCTCTTTAGTACAGTACAGGAAATGACGGAAGAGAAACTGCAAGTGAGTCTCACCTCTTCCTTTTACAGTTCTGCTGCTACATGCAAAGGGAGGGAGGGCTCTCATATCCCAACCCCCTAGGGAATGCACATGCTGCACTATTGTACATTACAGTAGAAGAATTTTAAAAGGAATCATCTCTTATTTTATTTTACTATTGTTGGTAAAAAGTCACTTTGGAAAATGAATCTAATTTAACAACTGTAATGTATATATATTATATGTACATCTGTAAATATTCAATCACAGTTTTAAAATAGTGTGATATAGCTTGTTACAATAAAATATAACTAAGGATATATTACATTTGGGGGGAAGTGAATGAGAATGAATGTATTTACTTCTGTATTTTGTCATAATAATTAAAAATAGAAGAAAATAAAGCTCTGACAGCAGTACAAAAGACTAAATAAAAATCGTGAGCATTTTTAATGTACCCAATTATAGATAACACATGAATTCCCAACTTTTATGTACAAAACCTGCATGACAACCCTCTAGTTTTACCAATGGAAAGCATAACTGAAACATTATACATGGCACACTTTATGGTACCAGTCATAATAATAATTTATTATATTTTATAATAATATATGTGTAGGCTTCATTTGTGAAATGGGAGAATCTCCAAAATAGAGGGTCTCTGATGCATCTTAAATAGCCTACACAACTTGTACACAAAAAGGTTTGGTTTGCAACAGAACTTCCAATGTCTCAGAAGTTACGGGCAGGATAGTGGATGCAATCTCCTTACAAGCACTCAGTTCCCCAGGCATTTCAGCCATCTGTGAAGGGCTACATAGTTAATTCTGTTTGTTAGGTCAAGGATGTGGATGCTGTGGCCTTCCAGACATTGCTGAATTACAGGTCCCATCATTCCTGACTACTGACCATGCTGACTGGGGCTGATGGGAGTCCAACAGCTTCCAGAAAACCACATGTTCCCCACTCCTGGATTAGAAGATGCATAGTCCATATGAAAAGTACTCAAATAGCCTGAGTCCTGCTGCAAAACTCATACACGAATCAAGTTTTCCCCAGTGAACTTACGCAGAAGATGTTACTGGCAGTTTGTATCTGATGCAATCGATCCAGAATCTGTCTTGGGTATCATCATCATATGATGTTAAACAGAGGCTGAAAGAGAAATCCAATCTCTGCATAATTCTGAAATGAGAGAGAAATGGGAGTGTGGGAGTGAAGCTAATTACACAATGCTGTCACCATTGAATAATATGATATGAAACATGTTGGCATCTTCAGCAAGAGAAGACAATCAATTCATTTCTCCACTAGACAGCGATATATTTAGATCAATGGCTTGTCATAAGTATGATACCTTTAGATCTGACCACATGCTCAGCCTCTTCAATTGACCTTGATTCTATGGACTCCACCATTGACTGCATAGTGATGTCAGACTAAGGGCTACAAGGAACTCCACGCTGAGTGAAAATGATGAAAATTGCAAATTGCAATCTGAGAGGAAGCCCCATTGAACTCTATGCACATGTATAAGACTGCACTGTAAGGCTCTGTCTAGAACAGGCCTGCACAACTTGTGCCTCTCAAAGCTGTTAGCTGAGCACAGCTAATAATAATAATAATAATAATAGTATTGTTCATATGCCGCACATCCGACTGGGTTCCCCCAGCCACTCTGGGTGGCTCCCAACAGATTATTAAAGACACAATAAAATATCAAACAGTAAAAACTTCTCTGAACAAGTTAATGATGTTCCTGCCCACCAAGACACCCAAATGACCTTCACAAGCAGCCATCAATAATGACCCAACAGTGACTAGATAAACCTGCTCTGGTTTCTCACCTAGAGAACTGTCAAACTGCTGGTCCCCTCAAGAAGAAAAAAACATTGGAGCCCTCAAAGTGCCTCAGTCCTTCAGAGCTGGTGCCTATGGGCACCAAGGACTTTCTTCTTTTCACTGAGCATTTTATTTCTGCTGGTTTTTTTAAAATTGTTATTCTGTCATATTTTTATGCTGGAAGAGCCAATATAGTTTTAAGTGTATTTAGTATTGTTTTATGCCTTGAAAGGATTTGTGCCCTGAAAGGTGGTATATAAGTGATTCTAATAATAAAACACAATAGAGAGGGAACTTTAAGAATAAAAATAAAAATGTGAGGCTCTGTTTCACTTGCATCCTGGCATGTGAGCAAGGCCTAAGCTGACCATGCTCAAGGAAAATGCCTTTACAAAAGAATGGCTTGACTTCAAAAGACAGATTGGATGCAGCGAGAGGTTGTTATTTTTGTTTTAAAGACAGCCATGCCAATTCTGTCTTAAACTGTGAAAATTGTCTATAAAAATGGACTATTTTACAACCACATGAATCTGTTCAGTTCTGCTGAGAGGCAAAGTGTAGCAAAACAAAGGTGCTATATTTTAATTGGATTGGTTTCAGTTAATGCATGTGTGCAAGTTTGTGCTAGCAAAACTTGCAACACCCAGCAGAGGTGGGTCTTATAGTAGATGTCATCTTGCCTACTTATTTTTTTTGCTATCATTCTAAACAATAATGTTGATAAAAGAATAGTTATTTTCATTGTTATAAAGGGAATGCATTGTATATTAATCTGCCAAGCTTGCTGCAACA